ATATATATACTACAGTAATATAATATAAATAGAAAAGATAAATATTAGATACATATAAATATTAATATAAATATATATAGATAATATAATATATATATATATATATATATAATATATATTTTCTATAAAAATATAACATATCTATCAAACTATACCATATATATATATATATAAGATAATAGATAAAATACTTATATATATATAATATATATATATATATATATATATATATACACATATACATATCTATAACAATTACATATATATATATATATATAATATATAATCTATATAATATATATCTATATATATCTATATACATATATTAATATCTATATATTATATAGAGATATATCTTATATATCTTAATATATATATATATTTATATATTTATATATGTATATATATTTATATATATATATATATAATTCTACTATATATATATATATATTCTATATATATATATTCTACATCGTATCTTTTAATATATACTATTTTCTATATATATATATTTAGATATATCCATACTTTTCGATATATACTCTATCTCTTAGCTAAGATATCTATCTCTATATATGAATATCTCTATAGTGATATAATATCTATCTTATATAATATTATTATATATCTAGTATATACTATATCTATATAATCTTTTTATATATTTATATATTTATATCTTTATTATATATTTATATACCTTTGTATATATATTTATATATATCATATATATCTATATCTATCTATCTGTACTTATAATGCTATACTCTTCTAATATATTTATATATATTCTAATGCTTTATATATATAGAGATTTAAATATATATAGATATATATATACTATCATATATATATAGATATAGATCTTATGTATATATATATATTACTATATCTTATTTTTATATATTCTATCTTTATATACTATCGTATCCTTCTATATATCTTATATAGAGATCTATAATTCATATATCTCTATATATATTATCTATTATATATATATATATAGAGCTATATAGATCGATATAGATATAGAAGATGAATAGATAGATGTAGATAGATATCGCTGATCTGTTAGATAGAATCGATCTCTGTCGATCATATAGAGCATCTATATAGGCTATATCGCTATAGATCCATATCTATCTCTCTCTCTATCGTCTCTACTCTATATCTCTCTCTCATCTCCTCTATCTATATCTCGATATACTATCTATATCGTAGACTAGCTAGATCTAGATCGATATTTACTATATATGGATATATTACTATAGAATATATATATCTAATATTCTCTATATATTATATTTACTATATAATATACATATATATCAGTTATATATATCTATACTATAATATCATATTATATCGATTATTACTATCGATAGATAGATAGATCTAGATTCCTTGATATATATACTATCTTGCGTATAACTAGAATCATTAATATCAGACGATAATTTCTATATAATATAGGTATTCTGATAAATTATAATATCTATACTTTTTATATATATAGATAGATATCTATAGATATATCTATATCTCTATTTCATCTCTATAATTTATATATCATTTATCACATATATCATCACTATATCTATCCTACTATCTATAGTCTATCCTCTATCTACTATATATATATTATACTTATATCTCGTTATTATATATTACTTATATATATATAATCACTCTTTAATATATATCTCTATATCTTATACTCTATATATCCATATATATATATATATATATAATATCAATATATATCATCTATATATAATTTTATATCTTTATCTATCTATATATACTTTCTAGTAGAGATACCCTTGATCTCATATACAATAGATCTATAATATATAGAGAGAGATTAGTTTCTATAGTCTCGATATTATTTTCTATGGAATAGTATTTTTATAATAAACTCTCGATCTCTTTATATTCTCGCTATATTTCCTATAGATAATACAGATCTTCTTTATCTCGATATAGATATATTTCTATAGCGTTCTAGCTATATTTATATAACTATAGCTATATCTTTCTAGATATAGATATCTCTATATAGGCTATAAGATATATTTTCTATCATAGATATATTATATATCGCTTCGATCGATCTTCTATTCGCTAAGATCTATTTTATCGATCTAGATGTATTTCTATAGATCTAGACTCTATTTTGTAGATCTCAGCTTTATTTATTATAGATCTAGATATATTTCATACTGATCATAGATATATTTATATAGATATCGCTATATTTCTTAGATATAGTATATTTCGATAGCTCTATATATATGTCTATAGCTATAGATACATTTATATGAATATAGCATCGTTCATTTTGCACGCCACTTTCGAGCTCTTTGTTTCACACAACGATCGTAACCGATCGCGCAGCCCCCCTGGAGACACACTTAAGGGTCAATATCATATCTTATTCTATATACTGTAATCTTAATATATATATCTTGATCTTATCTATCTCTCTAGCATCATATAAATATATATAATATATATAAATATATATAAGATATATATTAATCTGCTATATATACATAAATATTTAATCAATAGATATATATATATTTAATATATATATATATATATATTTATTATATCATATTTATATATATGTATTTATCTCTCTATATTTATTATCATATATTGATATATATATCTTTATCTATATATATGTATATCTCATATCATATATATACTATCCTATATAATATATATAATCTATATAGTCCACATTTACTATATATATATTTTAATCTTTATCTTTCATAATGTCGCATTGATATTTCTCTTTTATTTCTATCTCTATATTATCTATCTATCTTCTCACTCCTACCTATTTCTCATAGATCTCCTCTCTATATATCTTAGTATATATATATATCTTTATGATCTCTATATACGTATCTCTATGATATATACTCTGCTCATTTATCTCCTATATTTTATCTCATCTCTTTATCTCTCATCTTCTATGCATCTATACTTTTTTATATAGTTATATATCATATCGTTATATATCTAATCTATTCTCGTTCTCGCTCGTAGCGTTTTTCTCTATTACTATCTCTCTCTATCTCATCTATCTCTCTCATACTTCTCTCATTCTATCTTTCTCTCTCTCGTTCCTATATCTCTCTCTATCTATCCATAGATATTTATCTCTATGTAGGTTATATATATATATATCATTTACTATATATAGTATCTCTCGTATCTTATATCGTTATCTAATTTATCTATTATCATATCAATCTATCTATAGAATTATACAAAATCTCTCGCTATTAATAACTCTCATCTCTCTCTCTCTATATATATCTCTCTTACCTAACCTATATAAGGCAAGTATATATATAGAGATGATTTCTATATATATATACTATATATAGATTTATCTTAGTGATTATATATCTTTTATAGTTATATCTTTCTATATTTATAATATTTTATATATTCTATATCCCTCGATTCTAAGAATTGACTAGATCATATATTCATAATCTTTCTCCTACATTTCTAGTATGTATATTATAATATATCTCTACCTATAATCTCTATATATCTAGACTATATATATATTTATATATATGATATTTATATATCTAATAGTTTATATATCTATATATATTTATATATATATCTATATTTCCTCTCTGCGCTATCTTCACTATCTCTTCTCTATTTCTCTCTAAATCGCTCTCTCCTCGATTCTCTAGACTATCGCAGATATCTAGATCCCATAGCTAGATAGATCTATGTATATATACTCTCGTCGCATCTATCATCTATATCTCTAGCTATCTATAGATTCTCTATTATGATCGATATATCGATCGCTAGTAGATTTATATATAGAATAAATATATAGATAGATCATCGATATCTACTTCGCTATCACTCTATGCTATCGCTCTAGCTCATATATCTAGATCTCGAGCTTCGTCTAACAGCTCAATCCCAGGATATAGAGATATGTAGGGATATTAATATAGATATGGATATATATTCGTGTCGGATTATTCGCATCTGTATAATCAGAAGCTCTATCATGAGTATCTGCTATATCATCACTCGAATATCGAGATCATATATATATAGATATCTATCGTCTATCTCGATAATAGCTCTAGATTCGCTAGCTCTAGCTAGATACATGACGCTCCATCTTTACTCCGCATCTCTATATATAGCGTGCTACTATCATAGATCTCTATCCGATCTCCTATCTATCGATACTCTATAGATCGTATCTACTATACTCGATATCTATACTCATCAGCTCTCTCTACTCTCTATATAGATCTCTCATAATTTATATATCCTGTATATATCTATGGCTAGTATAATATATATATCTTCATATCATAGATATGATTATATAATAGATCTAATATAATATATATATATATATATGTATATATATAGATAATATATATTTATATCTATTCTATATTATATAGATATCTATACATTGTATATATCTAGTTCTCTATACTATTTCTACTCTCTATATATTCTTATTATTCTATCTATCCGCTCTACTCTCATATATATACTTGAGATATATATTTATATATATTTTGACCCTATTATATTACTATTATATATATTTATATAATATATACTATATCCTATATATAGTACTCTCTATCCTTCTATATCCGTATAATCATTTCGATATATCTATGTATATATAATATATTTGGTTATATATAAATATTATATATATCATTTGATACTCTCTATTCATATACTATAATATAATCTCATAGACGGACATAATATACAACTGATACTTCAAGCCAGGGATCGAGTAGGAATAGGCAAGCACGCAGCAGCAGCAAGCGAGAAAAAAAAATCTTAAGACAAGACTAGCCTACCTATCTGTTTCCGACCAGGTTCAGACCTTCAAACAAACTGCTGGCCTTTTGTTGTAGTTGACCATGAATCAAGAAAAAAGGCTTAATAATTCCACTTACATTGAGTTAAACATAGAAAGCAGCGCTGTGAAGGCAAACCCAATGGCAAACATGCTTTTCATCTTCACTAAAGAGAGGTCTCTGTTGCTGTTCTTCAGCCGTTCTTCCTCTCGTTCAATTTTCCTCTTCTGCTGACGATCCATGCTATCTCCATGGGCATCTTTCTTTTTCTCTACTGTATGAAAAAGAAAAAATTGCTAATTTTGTTCCTCAACCCATACCCCCGGATTTATGTTCTGTCCCCCTGTAGTTTTTGATGAATTTTGTTACATACAGATGGCTCCACATGGCCAGCTGGGCAAGGGAGTTCTATTCAGTAGAACCAGTTTCTAGAGTTAACGATCCTGCCGGGATTTTTTCCCATTCATTGAAATTGGCTTTAAATTAATACCATTACTATTGATATACTGTTATTATCTTTATGGGATGTATGATTACGATATTGTCACTGATCATTTTAGCCAATGAAACGTCGAAAAACCCTTTCCTAAAATGAAAGGAAAAGGGGAACAATAGATATGTATTCTTGATAACATGCTATGTTGGTGATTAACGAAACTTGTGGAGTCATCTATGTGTAAATACAATAAATAAATGTGTATCACAGTGGGCATGGCACCTATTCTTGCCACATGGGGCAAATGGGTTAAATCATCATGATATTCATTTATAAGATTCTATCAAGTTCTACTCAATAACAAGTACATAATACTTACAACGCTTGCACTGCCGTTCTAAAACTAACCTCTGTTTAGTTTTTGTTTGGGTCCTTTTCCTGGTTCTGTAGACCAACAAGCAAGTCCGAGGCCCTTAACAAATCAATGTAAAATAAAAATACAAATATGTATATTTATTAATAATAAGAGAGTCTAGAGAGGTTCATGGACAACAAGGCACAGTCTACAAGTGCCCAAGACCTTCTCACAAAGGCTAAAGTTTTGACCAAATCTCAACTTAACAAAAGATATAGCCTTAGACTGAGTACTTGGGTGTCCGTTTTGACTATACTGCCGCGAGAAATTCCTATCAGCCATATCATTATATGTCCCTGTAGGACATGCTTTCCCCAGAACCAGCTCCCCCTACACTTTTCTATGTTATTAAAGCTTTGCAGGTGGTACTCGCCCTGCAGGGCCCCTGCATAGTACTGGAACAAATGCAGGGCAGCTAGGAGCACCCTGCACCAAGTCCCACAAAATGATAATTTGGAATATACTCATCTGAACACAAGTATTGAATCAAAATTATTTTTGAATTATCTAATATATAATATACAGCTCTTATATTCACTGATATGCCCAAAAATAAGTACATACATAGCATACATCATACAGAGCTATATATATATATATATTTCTATATACTATATATTATATATATATATATATAGTAATATATATATATACATACATATACATATAGAACAGATATATATATTAATATATATAAGATATAATATATATAACTAATATATATATATTATTATATATATATATTATATATATATTATACTATATATAGTATATATATAATACTATATTATATATATATATATATATATATATCTATATATCATTCTATATTATATATAATTTATTATTATTATATATACTTCTATATATATTATTCTACATGTATACTATATTATATATCTATTACTATATAGCTATTATATCTTATATATATATTATATAATTCTAATATTATAGTTATATAGACTTACGATGCGGAGAGATAGATATAGATAGATATAGATATATAGATATAGATATATAATACTAGATATATCGATATATATATATATATATATAATTATAGAAGATATATATATATATATATAGATTATATTATTATAGATATATATATAGATATCTATATATAGATAATATATAGATATAGATATAGATATAGATATCTCAGATATTATAGATATATATCTATATATATACATATATATACGAAGACATTCATATAGAATCTCTATATAATATATAGATATAATATATATATCTATATAATATAATATTCTTATATATATATCTATATCTATATCGATATATAATATAGAAGATCTTATATATATGTATCATATAGCTATAGATATCCATAATTATATATATATAGATATCTTTATACCATATATATATTATATATATATAGTCTATAGATATTACCTATATATAACACTCGGATATACATAATCTATATTAATATAGCTAGATCTCTCTACTCTATATAGCTTATACCTATCTTATATATATATCAATTAATAGATATTTTATATATAGATATCTATATTATATATATATATATATATATATATTATATATATGATATATGTAGATAGATATCCATCGTATAGATAGATATATATCTAGATATATATATATATATATATATATATCAATATATATAAGATATCTAGCTATAGCTAGATCATACATATATATATCTCATATATTATATCTATATAATTTATCGCTATTCTACGATCTACATATCTAAGATCTATATATACACTGTACAAACTATCTTCATATAATATACTTATCTCGTATCTATCTCTCTCTATTGCTGTTATATATTATATGTCTACATAATATCTATATAAATATATATATATATATATCTATATATATATATATCTATATATATCCTTATAGATAATAGATACTAGGCATTATTAGATATCATCTATCTCATCTATATCTCTCGGACATAAGCATGAGAGATAGATACTAGATATAATATATCTAGATAGATATCTATAGTCAGCTAGCTCTAACCATATTCGAATAGATTTATGTATATATGCTAATATCTATAGCTCCGATATATATCTATCGTAGATCCTAATATATAAATAGCCTGACTATCTCTCTATCATATAAATCTATATCATTATATCGATCTTATATATATCTCATCTCGATATATATATATATATCTCTCATCTCGTTTCAGAGAAGAAAGAGAGAGAGATGTGCGAGAGAGAGAGAAGCGCTATCGATCATATATAGCTACTCTCTCTCTCTCTATTCTATATATCTATCTATCATCTATATATCTTGTATCTATATCTATATATATCATAAGATAGATCATATAGGATAGCTATGCATATATCTCTCTTCTAGCTACTAACGATATAGCTTCATCATGTCTCTCTCTTATATATGAGACATCTGATCTGTCTTATCTCTCTCTATCTATCATATACCCATATGACGCTTATATATATTATATTCTATATATAATAGATATATCTATATCAGATCTATATATCTATCTCTATATATATATATATGCGATATTTAGATTATATATAGATATAATATATCTATATCTATATCTATCTATCTTTATCTATATACTATCTCTATATCTCTATCCACATCATCATAGATTATACTCTGCGACTAATATATCGTATCTCTATCTCTCTATTATATCTTCTCTCTCTCCTCTATATAGTCTATACTATATTACTCTCGATCTATATATTATATCTATATACATACTCATCTCTTTCTTCTATCTCTCTCTCTCTTCTCTCTCTTCGCTCGCTCTCTCTATACCGACATCTATCTTACTCTATCATCTATATCTTATCTATATCGCTCACGCCTCTCTATTTTGCTCTCTACATCCCTCTTCGTTTCTCGCTCTCTACCTATCTTTTGTCTATCTCTCCCTCTCTACCGCTCACTCTCTACTATCTTCTCTCTTACTCTCTCTATCTCTCCTCTCCTCTCTATCTCATCTCTATACCCGGCTCTCTCTAGTCTCTCTCTCTCTACTAATACCGCTCTCTCTCTCTCTCTTCTCTCTATCTCTCTATCTATACTCTCTATCTATCATCGCGATCTACCTCCCGCTTTATGCTCCTCTCTCATCTCTCTCTCATGATACTATATACATATCTACTCTCTCATCGTTTTTACTATCCTCTCTCTATACGCTCTCCAGCTCTATCTTACTCTACTACTCTCCACAGATCTCTTCCTATATATCTCTCTCGCTAATCTCCTCTATCTCTCTTCATACAGATTATATCTCTCTCTATATATACTACAATATCTCGATCTCTATCTCATACCGATATATATCTATCTCTCTACATATCTACCGATATATATCTATTCTATCTCACCGCTCTATATACTCTATTAACAGATAGATATATATTATACAGATATCTATTCTTATATATACTCGTCTCATCCCGGTATATATCTCTCTCTCTATCTGTCGCCTGTATATTGTATATACCGGTGATAGAGAGATATCTTTATCTCTCTACTATAGCTCTACGTCTTACTCTATCTCTCTATATCTCTATTATACTCATATCTATCTTCTATCATATCTACTACTCTCTCTCTCCTCTGTCTCTATATATCTAACCTCTCTATCTCGATATCTGATATCATAGACTATCTTATAGTCTCTCATACATATAGACCGATCTCTATCCCTCTCTATCTCTCTCATATTTATACATATCTATCCCTCTCTACCGATATATCTCCCTCTTCTCCCTCTTCTCTACTATATCATATATCCAGCTATATCTATATATAAATATCTCTCTCTTCTCTGTCTCTCTCCTATATATCTATATCTATCTCTATCTGTCTCTTCATCCTCTCCACCCGCTCGTCTTATTATCATCGATAGCTCTATCTCTCTCTCTACTTACCTATCGGTCATCTTACATCTCTATATCTATGATATCTCTTTCTCCCATATCGTATTCTCTCTCTATATCTCTCCTCTATCCTTATACCTATGTACTCTCTATATCGTCCTCTCTCTCTATATATCTCTCTCTATCTCTCTCTATCGATATAATGTCCTCTATAGTAATATCTTCTCTCTCTATATCTCGCATCTTATAATATCTCTTATCTGTCTATATGTCTCTATATTTCCTATACTGTATCTCATATTTTATCTCTAGTCTTTACTTTTATCTCACTTTCTCTTCTATCTACTTCTAGTATCACTACTCTCTATTATCTACATCTCTACTTTCTCTCTTCTCTCTGCCTCTCTATTTCTCTCTCTCTATATCCTCTCTCTCTCTACTCTCTCTGTCTCTGCTCATCTGCGAGTTATCTCTCTCTCTCTCTCCATCTCTAATCTAATATATAGCTAGATCTTATATCTATATTATCTATCTATCTTATATCTATATCTATCTCTCTCTCTATCTATATCTATATGCTCTATCTATAACTATATCTATATTGTGATCTTTTTCATCTCGTATATTATATATCATGTACTATACCCATATACATATATACCATATTCTATATAAGATATCACCTATAGAATATACTCGAATATGTAAAATATATATACACTATCTCAATATACTCTACATATATACAGATATACTATACATAATCAGACATATTATACTATATATTTTTTTTTTTTTTAAAAAACTCTAATACATCTATATATAATATATATATATATAATATACATAATCTATAATATATATATGTCTTATGTATATCTGTATATATGTATAATATTCTTCGGGTCTATGTATTATATCTCATACTAGTATACTATCTATCTCTATCACTATATCTATCTATCTATCTATAAATATAGTATCTGTTTATGTATATATCTTGTAATATATGTATATATGTGTAACATAGATTATATATTTTATATATTGTGTCTATATGTGTATATATGTTGATATTATATATATATATATATATATATATATATAGTTATATATATATATATATACTATAATATTATATATAACATTATATATATA